CCCATAAAGTTAAAGAATTTCTCTAGGATGTGCTTAGGGGGGTGTGTGTGTGTGTTTTCTTCTTAGTTTTACTTGCAACTTTATTTTCTGTGTTGAGTTATTTCCTCTACTTGGTTTTCAAAACCATTAATGTGGATTTTAACAACAACCACCATCTCTCCTTCACCTAATCGATTACAAAATTTTTAAGTTTGTAAATTATGGCTTTTCCCCGCAGCATTTGGTTGTCATTGTGGGTTTTCTTGTTGTTGCTTTTCTCTTTTGGTCCTTAGATTTCTGTAAGTGCTCTTACTAGAAATATTTGATTTTGGTTCACGTTTTCCTCTCTCATAACCATTGCTCATTTTCATTAGGAGCTTCCTGATCTGTTTCCTGATCTGTTTGTTTTGCATCCTATCCCTGTTCCTGCATGTGGCATGCTGTCAAGCATGGTGTTGCTTTCCTGGGGTACCTTAAGTGGGAAGTCCTGTTAGACTCTAGGGACAAGCCTTTCTACACCCTGGTTTCCTTAGAGGGCATTCTTACAATGTCAGGGTGGAGAAAATGCGCTTGGTTAGGTACCCCCAGCTCCTGAGAGGCCAAGGAAACCAGCTGCTCCTGCAAGGCAACACTCACTCAAGTAAGGTCCATGGGAGAGGGAGGTCAGCATCTCTCTGGCACCACAAAGCCACAGCATTATTTCTGATCTTCACCCCATTCTGAGCTCTCATCTGGACCAAAGGGGAAAAGAGTCTGCATCAACTGTGTCCTTCAGGACCCTAATAGAGTTCCAGATCTCATTTGTACCCTTGGTCACCACTCAGCTCAGACGAGGTAAGGAGTTGGCTGGGAGATGAGTGGGTGAGGCGTCATTCAAGTCACCATCATGCTGGAATCCTGGACACATATTTACAGCAAAACTCAGACTGCTCCTCTAATGTCCTTTTGTTTCACAAAAGAGGGTTATCCTTGGTAAGGAGATGGTCTAGCATCTGGACTATTCGGAGAAAAGACGGACTGGGCCTTATAAGGGAGGTGCAGCATGAGAAATCAGGGTGCGAGGATCTCCTTTCTCACAAACTACACTTGAACTGGCCTCGGACCAGCAACGTCATGAGGTGAGAAGGCAAATTCCAGAGCAGTGATGAGGAAAGAGGAGAGTTTCTGGGACTGGAAGCCCACGGTGAGGGAAGACCCAAGGCGAGTCACACTGAGAGTCCATCAGTGAGTGCCCGTCTTTGTCAATCTGCCTTCTTCCTTCCCTTCTCTTCTTTGCAAATTTACTCTCTATTTTGATTTCAGGTATGTATAAACATAGACATAATGCTATCTGTTTTTCAAATTTTAAAACAGATAAACTTCCTCGCCATTGCCCTTTGATAGATGAAGAATAAATGATGGGTTTTCATTTTAAAATTCTGAAATTCACAACCCCAACACTGATTACTGACTAAGTGGTAAACATTTTGGTTTAAGACTCTCTCAGAGGTCTTCTTTACAGGCTTACGGTTCTGTGAAACAAAAGCGTTCTTATTTCCAGACATCACCTCATTTCAAAATTCACCCTCATGGCTAAATTCTTTGTTGAAGTTGATAAGCATTCTCGTTTGGTCAAGAACACTACCAGTGATGGACATAGCACAGAGAAAAAAGATCTTTTATTTTATCACTTTTCTAAAACTGTGGGATGATCTTATGCAGCTGTTTCATAAGAAATGTGTCTCAGACCTGATGGGATAAATTCTCTTCAAAGATGAATCAAAGAAAATAGTATCCAAGAATGCAAAACAAGCCATTGTGACCCTAACCCTGTCACACCTACAGAGAGCTCCACAGCTGTTAAAAGAGTAATGATTTCCATCACCAATAAACCACATGCAGAGATTGAAAAGGAGCGAGAGAAAGAGATCTATGTGAGATCCAGGCAAATTACACATGACTGTGAAAACGAAATCATCCTCAGCTTTACAGTGTCTAAATATAACACGTAATTAACAATAGTCATCTGCCAGTTAGCAAAGCCATAAAAATGATTAAAATCAAGTTTGATAATAGGCCATAAAAATTGGTGGATAAAAATAAAAATATTATATTTCTAGATTTGAATTCTCCATGGAATTGCATTAACGGGGTCGCTACCTGTTCCTTCCTCCAGCTGAAGCTGCAGTTTCCTGTGTCATTCAGAGAATAAGTGGATGGAGGGCTGACAAGTTGTTTTAAAACTCCATGGACAAGCTAAATTAGCATGATTCTTTGGAATTGTTTCAAAGATCTTTGGCTACCATTAATATTTTTCATCTTTCATTTTTATTATGTGTATGATGTCAGGAGCTGTGGCAGGCAGCACATTTTGTCAATTAAATAATTAATCCCACAGCATAACAGTCAGTGAGGAAAAATTGACATTTGTCAGGTTCAAAGAAAATGAAAGCCTAGGAGGATTTTTCATTAGGCTTGCTCGAGAAGAACATAATCTGATAGCAGACTTTTTGTGTTCACTTCTCTCCACCATCTACTGCTCCCGCTAAAACATTCCCCACATCGAACCATAGGGATGAAAAAGTACTTGCAATACTTCCTGCTCCCTCATCCTCTTCCACCCAATCACAAAATCATGTCAATTTTATTTCCTAAATATGTCTCCAGTCTCTTCATTTCTCTCTATCCACATCATCAAAATTGGCTGAAATTCACTCCAATAAACCAAAGGGCAATGATTACCCTGAACTGCCTGTTTTCTGCTTTGGCAATTGCACAGAGGTTAGAATCTCGCAAGCTATGGGCAGACTGGCCTGGGTTCAGGTCCCAGCTTAGCTCTTGCCAGCTATGGGAACTCTGGCCTCTCCAAACTTGACTGTCTCAACGTGTGAAAGGAGGATGCCATTGGGACCTCCCTCATGAGGTGACTGTGAGGGTTAAGTGATAGTGTCCATAACCTGCTTATTAGCACATTGACCGGAGCACGGTAGGGAATCAGTGCACGTTAGCCAAAAGTACTAGTCCATCCCATTTATGTTTTTAGTACATTCTGATTTATGACACATCAAGTGAATTGCAACACCATCATGCAGCACACTTTCGCTTTTCCTTCCACTTCTGCTCTTAAACCTCTCTCACTCCCCAATTCAGGTGCTCCCAAAAAGAGCCCTCCATGTGCCACCTTGTTCGCTCTCTCTTTCCTATACCTCCTTTGTTCTCCCATCCTTGGCTTGCAAGGAGCTGAGTAATAGTACTGTTTGGTCCCCTAAGAACATTGGTTCCAGGGCTTCCACAGATGGTATCGCCATGTCATCAACAACAGTCTGCACTGGATTAACGCTGCCTAGGAGGTGAAAATTTCAGCTCGCTATTTTTAACCTGTTTAAGCATCCTCCGCTCTGCCAAGATGAAATGCTTGCTTGGGGTGGAGATGAGCCTGCTCAGCGCATCGTGCCACATGTGCTGCTTTTTTCTCCTAATAGTATTCCACAATGTATTTGTTTTCCAATAGGGCACTAAACAGCTATTTTTGTTACAAAAAGCGAGACTTCACACTGGGTTTGGAATCCATGCATTTCTGCAGTACCTACTATTTTTTAAATTGGTGAAAGATGTACCCTGGTAATCTATGTCAGCTGTGTAGACAATATAAAAGAAAAAATCAGGTTTAGAATTATCATACACTGTACAATCAACTAAAGTCCCTTCACTTACAAAGAGTACATATGTCAAATGTATATTCTATATCTTCCCTTACAAACGGGATTGAAAATGTTAAGCTATTTTGTCTCCTTTCATAAAATTTGATACCTGTAATTAGGAGGGCATGCTTTAGGGGAAAAAAAAATCTCTCTTTAGCAAATCAAATGAGCCTTCTTTGACGTAAACTGGTTTGGGTGAGTGAACGCTATTTCAGTGTAGTTAGGATAACTGTCCACAATGCAGAAAAGAAAAGAACCATGGAAAATTTTCAAACTTTCTAATGATTTCTTGCACCGTCACCTTTTCTTAAATTTGTTTCTGCTCAATATCAGATTGTCAGTCACAGTGTCTGTAAGCGGACTGCACAAGGCCGTATAAGGTAAGGCTGTAAGATGAATATATTCTTTATTTTTGAAGTTTTATTTATTTTTCCTTGTTTTCCGATTAAATTAGCTAAGGGATGCTAAGTTCTATGGGAATTGACAGTGCCACACAAAAGTAAGAGGATTTTTTTTATTGTTTTAAGAGGATTTTATCTTTGTTAGGAGTAATCTTACCCACATCTCAAGACTGTATTAGAAGAAACAAAATATAACCATGTATGCCTAATTTAAAATAAGCTACTGTTTCAAAGTGTGGAAATCAGTAGGTTTAGGATTGTGAAGAAAAGTTGCAGAAGTCATTATTCCACTGGTAGAATATGCAGGCAGAAAACAGAGTGTAAAAATGTTCAACAAATATATGTGAATGACCAAACCGTAATGGATTACATTACAGGAAACTAGGATGTTTTAAGGTATAAAGTTATTGTCCTAGATTGCCTACAAGAGAGAAAATGGAACCCTGTCATGGCAGGCTCTTGTATAAAGAGACAGACACAGACGGGCTGGAGAGATCATGAGATGATCCAGAATAAGAATTCTTACTTCCTTACGAGGGAAAGATGAATTTCCTCACCAACAGTTCCTGTTCTCCTTGCACCAGTTTTAACACTCGAAACAATGTGTCTGAGGACCTTCATGAGACTGCAAGGGAGCCCTAGGGCCCTGGGTTTCAAGTTTATGCCCAAACACTTGGCCATGTGCAGAATCACAAATCTCACTTATAAAACGTGGAGTTGTGGAACGATTCTCGACCTGTGTTGGTACCTGTTCCTGGGGTCAATATGCCTGTAGGTGGCTTTCTACTTCTAATCAAGAATATTATGTTATTATCTAATATCTCAAAAGCTGCATCAGAGGATAGGACATCAAACTAAGAATACAGTCATGTCACCTTGAGGGACACCTACAAGTTAATACCATTTGAGTACGCCTTGTTTTCCTAGAATGATGACCTACCTTGTCTGGTGTACTCATCTGCTTCTCTGTGAACCAAATCCTTTACTCTGTTTCCATAAAGCAGCCGTGAGGAGTCATGATCAAAAGCTTTCAAGGTTTCACTGGAACTGTACGACTTCTGCGTAGGTACCCTACACTCCTCATTGTCTGCTGAGGAATTGGTATACCGCCGTTCTTTTTCTCGTCTGCTCTTGGTCAGGGAGCAATAAGGCCTCCGTTCTTTCACATCCATACTTCATTCCTTCTGTGTGCACATCAGTCCTGGCTGTTACAAATTACGTTCAGGGATCAATTCTCATTGGCCTCTCTGTAAAGATAAAAGGGTTGCATGATGTCAGCATAACACTCATCTAAAAACTGACTACTCTGCATCCTTCTCAATCTGGAGAATGGTGGAAAGTAACAGTATTGCCTATCTAGAAGCTCGCTTTTAACAATAAATGAAAATTTGTGAAATCAATATAAAATATCCTCTATTACCAGGAGTTGAGGCACACTTTCTGCTAATTTTTCACATTAATACAAAAAAAAAAAAATTTAAGCTCAAGCTCAGATTTCACTACAGAAACCAGCTAAAAGTTGGTTTCAATGTTTGGGAAATTTTCCACAATGGGAAAGTTTTCTCTTGCAGCATTTTCTCCATTCACAAGTAAATTCCTTTTCTTTTCCTTACAAAAACCTATACTATTTTTATTTCTCTTTCAATTTGTTTTAAAAGAGCAGGAGCAAACTGAGAGCTTCTTAGGGAGGAAACTTTGTCAAAAGCACTGAACATTTTATTATTTTTTACAAAGACTTTTCCTTCAGAGGGCACGATTTTCATGTTTTAAGACCCTAAATGTCTTGAATTGTGGAAAAAGCTGGTCCTTCTCTCATACTCTCTCCTTAAAATGCATTTTCCTCTCTAGAAAATGAATTTAATCAGCACTTTCCTGATATTTAAGGCAATTCAAGTGGCTAATTTGATGGGGTAGTTTCTAGCAACTGCCAGTAGCAAGAATAAGTTAGAAGGAGCAAAGAGAATTGTGTTTCTTTGCTTAGCAACTCTCTTTTTCTTGAATTTGCTGAATTGACAGGGGTGAAGGAGGGCAGAAAAGGCTCTGCTACCTAAAATATGGGGCCTACTTGCCAGGAGCTGACTTGCATTTTAAATGGTCCCCTTCTGTCTTTTTTCTTTCTCATTTTGTTTTTCCTTTTAATCTGAAGGTCCCTGAAGACGTGTCTTCAGCCATCAGTGTTTTCCCCCACCCCACTCCTTCTTTCCTAAATTCATTTTTTGTTGGAGTGCTTCCATAATCAACTTGAGACAAACGATTCCCAGTGGCCCCAGGTCTTCTCTTCGGTTCCACATCCTCAGGGCTGTGACTTCTATTTAGATATTTTCTTCCGCATAGCGTCCCTCTCCCGAAGGGTCTCTCTCTCCCTCTCTTCATCCTTGGCTCTTGTTATACACATCACACTACTCTTTAATGTGCTTCCAACGTGGAGTCTTGTAGCCGATGCTGATTCTCCCATGGCGGCTCCGCTTACATCTATGCTGTCAACAAGTCCTGATTCTTTCTGAGCAATATTATTACTCTTATACCGCTCCTTTCTAACTATTGCCTTCCAGCCAGCTATAAGAATGGTGAGACTCTCCGAGCTGGATTGATCAGAGTTCAAAAGCCTGTGCTTGGAAACGTTTGGACTCTCCTACTGCTACCTCTTCAATCAAACTACTTCCTCCCCTACGCATTTTGCCAATAAAGGTTACCTCACATGGCGTTCCAAATCTCTCTGCTATGGAATTGAGCTGGGCTGTTAAAAGTAGTTACTAATATTTTAGTTTGGTTGCTGAAATGTATTTTGACTTCTTACCTTTTTCTTCTTTTCCGTGAATCATAAAAAAAGAAAAAAAAAAGCTAGTATTTTTCATGACCCCTTCTAACTCATCACTCCATTATTCTCTTTACAAATTCTTCCAATAGCTCTTAATAGAAATTGGATTTCTCTTTCAGTTTAAGACAGTAAATAACTTCAAGGTATGGTGATGGAGACTATTTTTATACGACAGAGTTAAACAACACACCAGTTCACTCTTTTTATTCCAACAAACAAAAGTTACTTTAGATAAATATTCATTGAATGACTATGAAGTGTATTAGGCTCTCTTCTGTGCACTGAGGATACACCACTGAATAAAACAATGTTCCTGCCCTCATGGAGCAGACAGTTAGTGGAGGGAAAAAGTACATTCTTTCTAACAGAGTGAAGAAATATGTCTGAGTTCAAGGAAAATCTTGTTTCCAAAACAGTTTTGATCTCTTTGGAGGAAAGGCCATATAGACTCTCATAACTAAATGATCATCAAACAGCTTTTAATTGACCAGAAAAATATTATAATTTAAGAATTTTTAGTTGGGATTTGAAATCATTATGAAAGTTCCATTTCTTGCCCTAAGTTGACTCCTATTTTAGAATAAATGTTGCCATATATACACACATAAGCATTTTTATACTTTAAAAATGGACTGATTGAAGCCTAGGGAAATTGTTTTCTTCTCTGCAGCAGTCTTGCTTCAATTAGTTAGAACAGGCATTGGTCCACCAGCCAAATCTGACCCAACACCTGTTTTTGTATATAAAGTTTTACTGGAACACAGCACAAGCATTTATTTATGTACAGTCTTGGCTGTGTTCATGCTGCAAAGACAGAGTTGAATGGTTGCAACAAAGACCGTAGTGGGTGGAATTGTGTCTCCCAAAAGGATATGTTGAAATCCTAACCCGTAATACCTATGAATGTGACCTCATCTGGAAATATAGTCTTTGTAGAGGTAATTAAGTTAAGAGGAGGTCATACTGGATTAGGGCATGCTCTAAATCCAATGACCGGTGTCTTTGTAAGAGACAGGAAAGGGAGATTTATGGAGACACACAGACACAAAGGAAAGAAGGCTATGCGAGGACGCAGGCAGAGATTGGAATGATGTAGCGACAAACCAAGGAATGCCAAGGGTTGCTGGCATGGGACAGATTCTTCCCTAGAACTTCAGAGGGAGCATGGCCCTGCCAACACCTTGATTTCACACTTCTCACCTCTAGAACTGAAAGAATAAATTTCTGGTGTTTTAAGTCACCAAGTTTACGGTAATTTGTTGTTGCAGCCATAGGAACCTTACAGAGATCTTCTGGCCTGTAAAGTCTAAACTATTTGCTGTAGTAGTTTATCACAGTAATATGAACATACATCATCACTATTAAAGATGCATCCTTGTGGTGATGTTACCAATGTCTATAAGTCAGTACCAATTAAATGAGTAATAAAAAGATAACTTTAGGTATTCTTGAGCTTTATAGAACATCTCTAGCAGCAAATATCTGAGTTTTCTTTATTTGTGAAGCAATTCTAAAGCGCCACGATAAATCAAACTATAATATTCAAATATACTATCAAAGAAAAAGGCATTTTGATCTTAGAGAATCCACACACAAAAAAAGTCCTTTGCATGTGTCTTTCTATTTTTGTATATAGTTCAGACTCTTCACGGATTTACTCTTCACTGTAATGTTTGCAACTCCTGATAGGCTTCTGATCGAAGTCAATGAGTTCAATATGACTTCAAAAGGCGGTTTGCTGGGTTATCGCCTGCACTCAAGGCTGAAGATGAGAGGTTGAAAGATGCAGCTGCTTAATTCATACTAAATTCTGGAAGCACTTCCACGGTGACTGCACAGTGCTACACAAGGAAGAGGGTCACAGTGTGCAAAGGCAGCACACAGCACTTAAAGAGTTGACCAAAAACTTGATTGAACTGGCTACAGGAAATACATATCAATATCAAACTGATTTGTTAATTTTCATTAGCTCCTTAAAAAACAACTCAGTTACTAACTATAGCACTCCTTGGGAAAATCCAGCTGGTCTTAAAGCAAATTGCATTACTTAGTTATTTGTTTTTACTCAATATCTTGCAAAGTATTTGACTGAAGGAATGAATGGGCAGGCAGTCCTTGACTTTTGGACACTAGACTTAGGGTGATCGTAGCCTCTATTTCAGATATATTATTTGAACATGCTTTGAAACTTGACCGGAAAACTTAACAACATTATTATGTTGTTTCATAAAATGTTCCTAATTCCAAAGAAACATTTTTTAATCATATCTTTAGAATGTAATCTGATTTTAATTGGAGTTTGTATACCTTTAGAGCCCTTGATGCCAATAATTACAATTTATCAGGCTTATAAGAAACATCTCTAAAATAATCTGAACTTGTAAAGTTCCATGAGCTTATGTGTCTGTCTAGCAACCAAAATAAAAACAAATATCTGAACCCAAAGAATTAAATAACCTGTTGGTCAAACTCACTACTGCTTCCATTGTATTTATTTTCTGAAAGACTTACAAATTCCTGAGTGCTACCTTAAATATTTTCTGCCTAGACTGTCCTCTTATCTTTATAATAGTTTGGAAAAGCTCACCCAAAAGAATAAGCAGATTTCAGAGAAACATTAACTAACCCCAACATGTTTTTGATTATAGATCTAAATTAAGTTCTTTGTAGAAAATACCAAGAAATTTTTGCCTTTTGTTACTCACAATTCATATTTTCCCTAATAAGTTAGTATTTATGATTTATTACCACTTATGTTAATCAAACATTAAATACAACTTTGCACACCATAAGAACTTCAAAGTGTTTTCTTTATGAATAGCTAGATTAATGTCACTTGATCTCAAGAGGAAATCAATTGCTATTGTTCATTTTAAAGAAAATTTTGTTTCCTGAGGCAAATTTACAAATCAAAGAATTGAAATAATTAAGTACAAAAATAAAATCATATTATGGTGATTTTTCTTTGTAATGCTAAATTCAAGCATAACTGAAATTTGAGCTTAGAGTTTCAAACAGAAGACTGCAAATGAATTTAGCTATCGTGTTTAGGCACAAAGTTAAAACACAAAATTGTCTAAGGAAAGGTAGGGAAAGGGGAGTCTACTATGGGTAACAAAAGTGATGCTTGGTGAGAAGACACAGGTACAGTGAAAAACAAATATAGTGAACAATTAGTGGTTAAGAAGGTTAAAACAACGAAGGAAATAAAGAGAACATTTGATAGCAATAATTAATAAGAAGCCAACTTCTCCTTCCAGCCAAGATGGAGTAACAGGACCTGGGTTTATCCAACTCTCTAAAATAGCAACAACAACAAAATAGACAAAATACATGAAACAAGGTTTTCAAGACATTGCCATGAAGCAATGAAGGGTAGTTGAACGTAAGAAGTGGGAAACAACAAGCTGAGCCCTTGAATCTCCCTGC